TTCATATTGTCCGACGATAAAAAGTACAAAGTGTCATCTCTTATTTTACATCTTCACTGTGTTGGCTTTACATAATTTACAAATTAAAATTTTAATTATTATTATCTCATTGTTTGCTTATCGGCTTTGAGTGGGCGTTTATTATGAGCACAAAGTAAAGTTTTTTTGCGCTACAATCACTTCAGCTAAAACTTATTTGCTACACCGTGCCTCATACCTCAACAACTGCATACGTATGTACGTTTGTAAATATTGCTAACGCCTCCGCTTACTTTAACTGCTTTTTCGTCTGCATATTCATTGCAAAAATTTTAATGAAATTAGCATAAAATTAACGCCTCATCGTCATAAGCCATTCAATGCCTTAATTTGGCACTGAGTCGTACAAAGCAGCTCTTCAGTATTGTGCTTCCTACTTCTTATTGTTATTGCTTACTTACATACAATTCGTTATGACCTTAAGATTTGCATTTATTTCGTAATTTTCGCCCTAATTCGACATAACTCAGCGCTGCGAATTTAGCTGCCTTGCATCTTCCACGCCACACCGTTTTCATGCTGATAAGTAGTGGCTGCTGCCCTGCAGGAAAATCTACTAGTTATGAACTAGAATGCTACCAGTTTGCGTCTAAGCCTAAGTAGTTCTCGTTCTACGCTTTTTCTAGGTTAGCGACTGGTATTTTTGACAAGGCATCTACAAGTAGAAATACTAGTAGCATCAAACCCTTTGATGTGATAGTCTACCAATTCATCCCCGTTAGAGGAATAAGTACATATCGTTGGCTGAGTTGAAGATCGACATATCTCGGTAGCCATTTTGAAAACGACCAATCTCAGAAAGCTTTCCCAGAACTCCCTATTTTAGAATTTGATTGAAGTGCGCCTTTTTCAGAATTTGATGGAAGGATGCCTTATTTCAGAATTCGGTTTAAAAACACCCCCATCTCAACATATTTTTATTATATTCACACTTGAGATATGACGTTTTGGAACCAAATTCTGAGATAGCGCGTTTTCGAACCTGCTATCAAGATAAGTCAATCCTCCACTCAGCCGTCGATATGCCGCTGATAAGATGCTCGAAATTATCGAACTGCTAGACCATAGCCTTAGCTCATACTAGTTAATGAACTGGTATTTTTACTGACTGATTTTAAATTTTCACTGCAGCGTGTGTATGTGGTTGTATTTGAATGTATATAAATATGTACATTAGGTCGGGTCAATTTGTATGGTAGATTTTTTCGACCATGCGCGTGTAGCACAATAGGATTCTACGTGCAATTCCAAACAAATTTGCCGAAGAAACCATGGGTCTGAAATGCAATTTGGAGTTTTCCAATTTGCTTAGAATTACACGTATAATCCTTTTGTGCTCTACGCGCATAGTCAAAAATATCGACCCGCCCTAATGTACTCGTACATACTTATGTATGTATGCATTGTACTTTATGCTGCTCGGTTTTCTTGTACCTGAGGCACTTATCGTTAGAATTTCGTAGCGTAATTCAAAATGAGAGCGTCTCCAGCAACTCGACTTCAATCACTCAGCTAAACACTTCAAACTCACTTGACTGCATTCATTCGCTCACTCATTGCATGTCTTGTATTTATATAAAAATCGTCGTGTTTTGTACTACTTGAGAGGAAAAGTAATTAGCGATTGTTGACTAATTAGATATATAGATTTTTTTTTACAATACGTAAAAGCCGTCTCGATCCATTTTTCTGAAAGATTTAGGAGAAGTGAAATGTCTGACAGAGAGTTCAGAAAAAGGGATAAATTAAATGTATTGCGAAATAAAATAAACAGCCCTTAAAACAAGCCTACATAATGGAATACACATTAGGGTGTCCCAAACTGTTGTTTTGCGAAATTCGATATGCATATCAGCTATGTATGTTATTCCTTTTCTACATAAATTAAGTTTTTATTGCTGTAGAATCACCATAAGCCAGGTGACTTGTAGTTGCTATTTTATTGCATTTATAGGACACCGTACACTTTACCTCGCATTAGTAAAATGTTTTAGATATACATATATAGTACTACTAGTGCTCGACCGTAGTACACACTTATGTACATATATATTATGTATGTTCAGTTTTAGTGTTTCATAGATACTGAAGGTAAGAAAGTTCAAGGAAGTTTTGTTAATATTTTAGAATAAAATTTTTTAATCTGTATCCTAATGACACTGTTATACACGGTGTCCTAGAGCAATCCCTCTAAAACCGAGCGAAAATATGACCTACCAAATCGGTGATGCTCTATTATTTGGCGGTATTACCGACTTGCGTATTTTTTATGCGGTTTCGACCGGAAGTGGGTTAAACTGACCGGAAATCCATTTTTTAAAGTTAGACATACATACATACATTGAATAAGGCACTTCCGAGAAAAAAGTTTCAAACAAAAGTTACGTACTTTTATCCTTAGAACCCAAATCAGTAGTAAAATCATATACACTTAGGTCTCGTTTTATGCGGATTTGAGTCCTTGCGGTTTTTCAAACCTGAATGCTGGAACGCATCCCCTGTTTTTGTATGAAAGTAAAGAACTCTATTATGCGGATTTATGAGGAACGCATAAAAAAAGACCTAAGTGTATGTATAATTTGAAAAAATGGACTTGCGATCAGCTTAACCAACTTCCGATCGGCCCCCGATTTGGTTGGCCATATTTCCGCCTTTAAAAACATTTCCCTCCATTTTAGAGGCGTTGGACACCCTGTTCAAAGAAGAAAACATCGGCAAATCTACATATATGTACCAGAAACACTCCGTTAGAAACACGCCTGGATATTCGCAAAAAGCCGACAGCATTTGACTACCAGATCACGGAGATCGACTTAGGCCTCAGAAGGTACTTAAACCTAATTCCGTCTTAAGTAGCGATGAGATTTCAAATTTAGCAGATGGAACTAAAGTTGACTGAATACTGAAATGGATTAGCAAAAAGAGTTTACGGGGTGTGTATAGCTAAGTGGTTAGCGTTGCTGGCTAAGCACATCGATTATGAGGGTTCGATTCCTGCTGAAGTATAGAAGAAGAAGTTTGATGAACAAATTGCAGCTATAACTTCTACCACTTAGACTTTGTTGTCTTACCCCATTTTTCCTAATAAACAAATCATGGCGAAAAGCTCAAAAACATTGATAAAAAAGTAAATATTATTGCACCACAATAATAATAGCAAAAATAGCTTACTTTCACGCTTCGATTAAGCGTCTATGGTCGACAACAACTACATAACTCGACAGGAGTTTAGAATTATCGAAAACTCTTACAATCGCTTAGACAAGACATCGACAATCTTCGTCAGATGCGGAGCCACATAAAGCAATTTTTGTATTTGTTGTTAAAATGAGGTAGATTCCATTAAATACTTCCTGTGCAGCTGGTTCTCACTTTAGAGTTAGCGACTCAGACTTTTTGGGGGTGATTTAATGGAATTTAGGGTTAAAAATCTTCTCTTATCGACTCCTGTGGCTACGGTGTGCACCTTTGATAATAAGAGATAGCTTAACTTTACCTAACCGTTACTGAAAACTAAAAACACAGGTTTACTACGTTTGAGCTTAACTACTCGTAGTATCCCGGAAAAAAGCGTAAAATAACTCAGGTGCGAGAACTTTTGTCGCAAGGTGTGGTAAATAATATCATCCTACAGCAAAAAAAACTTTTTTAAGGTAAGGCTAAGTATATAGTATTCAGAAAAAAAAACATTTTCGACTGTCCGAAAAAACCATAGTTGTTTTTTTCTAACGCACACCCCCTTATTTTATTCGACCACGGCAACCCGTGCCGACTTGCAGTCAAAGTTATCAGAATAAGCTTTAAGCAGTTTCCGTGTTTTGTTAACTTACTCATTGTACTTCTATGTACATAAAGTGGTATTACTATACTCCCTACAGTGTTAGGGAAAAATATTAAGTAAATCTGCGTTTTTGGTTTTTTACCAGATAGTCAGGATTTTTTCCAAAGAACCATTCATTATAATATATTTCCAAAAGTCTACACAAAATATGGATATATGGGTATCAATCGAAAGAAGAATTCAAATCAAAACTTTTGCTTTCAATTATCCTTTTCGAACCAGTCGAAAATGTCTTATAAAAATATTATCCCTAAAGATTTTTAATTTTGAATGTATTCCGATGAGTCCTAGTTTAATTTAAATCCTATTAATATATATAAAGAATTGAAGGATAAATATTGCAAAGGATATTTTTCTTTAAATAATTGTTTCGATTTCCTTGGCAGAAATCCTGCCGTCCTACTAAAAATGTAAAGAGTGCAGATTTACTATATATGCGTGCAAATATGGGAAGCATATCGAATATTTCGCATTTCTAAAAGTTTTCATGGATGATTAATTAAATTTACTAACTAAAATTTCAACTAAAGTCGTTACCCTACGGCCACAAAACTTCATACATATGCTATTTAGGCTAAAAAAGCACAAAACCAGAGGGTATGCATATCAAAATTTGCAAAAAATTTGTTTCCATATATTACCCGTGTTTTTTTACACGCATACATACGTGTGAAAAAAACAAGCATCGACAATTTCCATTTGAAAACAAGTAATTTAGATTTAATCGACAACTATTCATAAACGCACATAAAGGTTGTCGCTTACTGCTCCATAAAAATTTTAAGCGCAGATACGTATGCGTGTAAGAAAAACACGCCTACTCTTGGGACAGTCTACATATACAATACATACAATGCATATACAATTTTGGAAAAAAATATTTTTTATGTTCTGGGACACGCTAATGTACATATTACATATACATATATCTGTATATATGTACAATAGGTTCTTCGAAGCTTTTAATATTTATTCCGAAATGATGGGCTACTTCATAAAATAAATGAAATGGAGTAATAATTTTGTATACCTGTCACGCTAGTATGGAGATATGTAATATGATGTTTACTATATGTATGTAGATACATACGTATATTAATCTATTTAAGCTTTCACTCACCTTAACGTAAGTGCGTTCTGTATCGACCAATTCCAAGATAACCTTGCGCAGTTTCTCGGCATCGGTAAGCTGACGTGACGGTGTCAGTGCGGCATTCGAGACTGAAGATGTGACAGAGCCGGTCGGGCTGGATTTACGGGTTTCCTGAGGTGAACGACAAAATCCGGTAACCTTCAATCAAGCGTTTCCATCGACATAAATAGTCAACGATGAAGACGATGGAAGAAGGTTGATTGATGTTTTTTTTTTTTTTNTTTTTTTTTTTTTTTTTTTTTTTTTTTTTTTTAATTCAATTCATGTTTGTGCATTTCGATTCGCATTTGACAATCAATTTATGTTTTTGTTTTTTTAGTTGTTATTTATGATTTAAATTTTGATTTATAAGTGATAAATAGTATTTGTAATGATGTTTGTTGGTTGTAATAGTAGTAGAAGTGTTGTAGTTGTTTTAGTATTTTTTTTTGATTGTTATAATTTTTTTATTTGATGTTTTTGTTATTATAAAACGAGGTGTTTGCAAACAATTCATTTAATTGGATTCAATATAAGATGATATAAAAAAGTAGATGAAGAAAGAAAGAAAATTGTGAAGTTAGCAAAAATGTGAGTGGTGTAAATTTGTGCAAATAAGATTCATATAAAAAGTGAAAGTAAGTTCGTAAATGTGAAGTGATCGATTGCGGGGGTGGAAGGGGGCAGATGAAATACATTAAAAACACAATCAAAATGCCCGTTTTATCAATGGCGAAATGGTAAAATTGGTGCGATAACTTGCATTGTAATATTAAATATATGCTTAACTACTTAAAAATCATGCTTTTATGAGAACAAGATATTAAAAAAAAAACACATATCAAACTTTGTACAAAAATTAGAAAAATTATTCTTATTTTCACCAAAATTTCCAACTTTTTAATCAGCATTTTGGTATGCAGTTTTGTAGACCATTTGATTCTAGTATAATGAAGTGCAACTTTCGAGCTGCTATAAAATCCCGTTAATTTTTGTATGTTTTTTTTTTGCTGGCAGTGTCTTCCATATAAAAGAAAATTGTCGAACACACTTTTGTACGGACAAAACGTAAAACACCTTCAACCAAAAAATAATAATTTGTGTGAGCTGTCTGCAAATGTTTTTTGATGTTGGCTGTTGTCTGTCGCTTCACCTGGACGTATGCAAAGAAATTCCAAAGAATCGGCGAAAACGGGCTGATGCCGATGCCGATGCTCAATTTTAATCGGTCGGACTCTAAAAATTTATTTAAAAAATGTACACGGCTGGATGCCTACCTACCATTACTATATGTATGACTGCCATAAAATTTATATGAATATAATATGTAAAAGTTTTGAACCATTAATAAGTGATTCGAACATTAGTCTTAAACTTTTATTTACATTATAAAAAAGGGCATACTAAATATAACCCATTGTTTTTTGCTTGTGACAATATCACTCTGAAGAAAAAAATCAATATTATTGCGATTTTAAATAAAGAAAGTAGTATAAAGTGATTTATTTTACAACGAATTTTCGTCATCCCTTGTCAAGCTTGGTTTGCAGACAAACCGGTTGCGGCGTTGCGCCATCTTCAGTGTAATTTTTCTTTCTCCAGAAAACAGAACAAAAAATTACACCGAAGATGGCACAACGCCGAAACCGGTTTGTCTGCAAACCAAGTTTGACAAGGGACGATGGAAATTCGTTCCAAAATAAATCATCTTACCACCCTATCGGAAAAATCAACCAACACATAATATAAAGTGCTTTTATTATTGCTGATTCCTTAAAACATTGGAATCAAACAAAACCATTTTTGGTTGCTTATATCTGCCTCATTAATTATCAAATTACTTAAATTTACATTGGAATAATTTTTTTGAACAAATATATTAGTTGAAAAATACCTAACCAGTCGTTTTTTTAATGGTGGTCAATTCGTTTTGCATACTGTTTAGTAAGTCGCAAGGAAGGTTAAGTTCGATTTACGGGACCAAGGAGTTGTGTAATCGCAGCCATATTAAAACCAAGGATGGTTAAAGTATTTCTAACTCAGGGGAACAGTAAATTTCGGGCCTTAACCCAACTATGCCCAAACGTTAGTATCCATTCGTTCTAACTTCAAATTCTAAAATTCTTCCCACCACATCCCGGTTTCTTTTCTTATGGAGGGTAAAATTTTCCACTTTCAATTCTATTATTTTTCTTTACGAAAAACTTAAAAAAAATATGGGGTATACAATCTTAGGGGGTAAGAGCATAACAATTTCGACTTAACTGTTTTTGGACCACCCTAACGTACAGTCGTTTGTTAGTACATTTGCAGTGCCATGCAACTCTAGCACCATTAAAGTACTTTCTTGCCATGACATTTCCAATTCGGTTTGCGGTTTTGTGGTGCTCCTTTTACGCTACCACGCAGGGGTTACAGATTCCGCCGGAAGCAAACAGTGGGTGACAATCGCTTGGTCGAGTGTAAATAGAAGGTGTTTAATACGCATTTTTGCGGTAAGACGAAGCTACTGTAAAGGCAAAACAACAAAACTGCAACAACAACAACAACAACAACAGCGGCAGGATAGGAAGTGCATTTGACACTGACAGTTAATGGCTGCCAGGAAATCAGTAAAATGCTGTAGGTTAGAGGCAACAACACAGCGTTGGCGACACGTTCAAGACAGGACGACAGGTCGACAGTTTGACGTTTCGCTTTTACTATGTATGTAGTTGTGTTGTTGTATACTTGTAGCGTTTCTGTATTTGCTGTTGTGCTGCCTGTGCACAATACATAGCTGTCATTTTATAAAGCACCTTCTACTTAGGCTACATTCATACGAACACACTACATCTTACACTTGTACTAACGCACCCTTGTAAGTGTGTATACGCTCACCTATGCCTCGTTTACCTCAACATCCTTCGCTGATTTTGGCACGAGAACACGACATACATACGTAGAGACAAAGACAAGCCTGCTTTTTGTCAGTCAACATTTATGTGAGCGCGCGCAATTTCCTGCTCGAGTGCGAAGGAATTCCATAGCATTCATTGCGGCACATTCATTGGTGCAACACGCTGCTGCATGCCACATGCCACATGCCGCTTGTTTGCGCTCCACTGCCTCTTGGCATTTTTCCTTTTACGCTTTTTCATTATGTAAATGATTTGCGCTTTGTTTCTGCTTCTTTGGCAGCGTTCATTTGCATAAGCTGCCTTCCACTAGCATCAGCATTCAGAACGATTGCTTTACTGCATTTGCGGTGAGAGAGTGCGGGCGCGCAAGTGACAGTGCAAGCTCGTTGTTGGGCGGTTGCTCCGTTCATTGCGGTAACTTGGGCTGGAGGTTCACAGTCAAAGCTGCAGTTTAAATTTCGCAAATGGATTTACTAAAAATTACACTAACTACATAAATACATACATATACCGACTGCTCGAATGCAAGTATTTACAGTACATATGTATGTACTCCCATGTATATTTGTCTGTAAGATTTCGGTGTGCAATAGCGCTGAGTCGCCGTGGTGCGGTTGCTTGTAAACGTCAACTTGAGATTAGAGTATCCACTTTAGTAGGTAGGCTCTTCTTTCTTTTGGTGTTTAGATTATATATTATTTCCCCATCCGATGGCGGTGCGACCACACGGAATTATTATGTGGTTGTCAGTTTATCGGCTTTTCCATACGACTTTTAGATTGTGTGTGTGTGTGTGTGTTCGCTGTGTGAGTAAGGTTCACCTATTTACTAAAGTGTCATTAAAGGAAGTGGACTCTCGGCTGGCTGTCAGTACTTCTCTCTAGTCCTTGGAAGCTGCGGTTGCACAGGAAAAAATTTAAATTTGTTTGCCTCGTATCGCGTAGTATACTACCGTTATTTTGTTTGATTATTGTGCCGAACTTGTTGGCGTTATTATGGAAGTCGGATATGCGCTTAGGCCGAGGGAGAGGTGCTAGATTAGGTATGGACAAGCAGAATCTTTATCTGTCACTTAGGGATGTAACTATAACAAACATCTGGAGGAAAATTGAAGCAAAAAAAACTTTTCTGCTAAAAAAATGTTATTTATGACAGCGCAGCCCTTAGTGACCCCAGAATCTACATGAGCAACAACCAAAACTTAACGCTTGGAGGAAGCTTCCTAAATCTTTCTAGAGTTGTTATATGGCAGGCAAGCGCAGAGTAAAATATCTCTGTGGTCATCGCAAGAAGATATAAGGACCCAGCGTGAAGACCCCCGTGGCTAGGTAGCATCGAGCTGTCACTTAAAGACCACGCCTTGTATTTGGGAGCAGTGTCCCTTGAGGTCTCTCATCCGCTCTGATGCATTGGTGCTACACAGCAATAGTCAGACCAATACTGCTAAGTGGCACTTTGGTGTGGTGGAATGCCGCAAAAAAGTCATCACATCTTAGGCCAATGGAGAAGGCTCAGCGATTCGCGGCACTGTACATCACGGGAGCGCTAAGGTCCATTCCAACGGCTGCTCTTGAAATGGTCCTCAGTTTATCACCCATTGACCTATTCGCGGATAATCGTGTTGCTAAATCCGCAGTTAGATTGATGGCCATAGGAGAATTCAATTTCAGAACCTCTGGGCACAGCTCAATAGGGGCGGGAGGCTCAGGCAGCATGGACTGTATGGCGCCTATTTAGCTTTAAGTGGGAATGAGAGATTCGCACAACGATTGAGGCAGAGGGATGGCGCAACTGAATGAAACCTAGCCACAGATCCCTAAACTTTTTCTCCGACGGCTCTAAAATGGCAACGGGAGTGGGTGCCGGGAGTTACTGCCGGAAACTGTACGTCAGGCGGGCAGTAAGGTTAACTGACCATTGCAGCATATTTCAAGCAGAGGTTTTCGTAATGAGGCTAGCATAGGATTTAAACTCATCTGAGACTTTTAATGCAACTATATATAGATTTCTCGCTGTGTACGCAGTAGCCACGTTGAAAGCACTTTCGGGAAGGTTTCATTTTACCATTCAGCATAACAAAGAGCATTTGGTGGCTTTCTTTGTTGCCATTCAACCGCTCACCTGTACACTCACTCACTCACTCACTCATTCGTAAGCTCACTTTACTTAGTACGTAGAGATGTATTTATTCACCTTCTATGTTGCGCTGTGTTTTTTTTTTGTCTTCATTTTTCTGCAATACAATTGTTGTTGCCAAGC